GCAGTGCTATATATGCCACAGTTAACAGTTGAATGATAAACTCAAGAACTTCTGCAGATACATCAATATATAACTTCTACCGTAAAAGGCATTGCATTTTTTTTTGATATGGTGAACTTTGTGCGAGAAAGAACTTTCTTGGCTAATTGTGTTGTCTTTTTCCATCTAGTGTAATAACCAGCACATGAAGCCCATCAGGAAATACTTGTTAGTTTTTAAGGATCATTTTGGAGTTGATTCACAGTCTCCTCACAGTTCTTCAAATCTCCACATTCTTTTTTCCCCTAATTTATTTTTGAGATCTCTTCTGTCTCCCATATTTTGCCCTCCACAAATTATCAAGTTTTAGGACGTCTATCTTCTTACATTGAAGAGGTTGGTCATAGAGTAGACATTACCAGGCTAATTTTAGAAATGTATTTATTAATAAGGCCACAGTCCAGTAGAAATTGTAGAACAAGAGAAGAGTTTAATTTCTCTGTAAGCAGTTTTGTGTTTGCTTGTTTGTTTTTTGGTGGTCTCTAGGCACTTAGCCATCACGGATCAGTAATCCTTTTTTAAGTAGTTGAGGATATCCAAAAGTCCCATGAAGGGCTTTCATGTCTTACTAATGATAGTATAAATTCCCACATTTATGGCAGTGATAAGGAAGTTGTTTTTTTACAAAGCCACTTATTTCAGGCACAGTGTATATACAATTAATGTATATACAATTAAACTTACTTACTTTCCACATGCAGCCCAGTGATTTCCACAGATCTGCACAGATGCCTGCTTCTCCAGTCACAGTATATAACATTCCCATTATTCCATGTATCCTCTCCTTCCTCTGTGTAGCCAGTCCCTCTGCTCACAATCACAGCAATTCTTGATCTGATGCTGATGGAGTTTTGCCTTCGCTAAAATTTTAAATAAGTAGGACCAGACATTTAGTTGTTTTTATTTGGCACCTTTCCTATAATGAAGTGCTCTCAAAACTCAATTATAGTGTCAGATGCAGCAACAATTCTTTCTTTTTTATTACTGAGTACTATGCATGCGTGTTAGTTAATCCATTCACTAGTGGCCGGACATCTTCATTATTTCAAGTTTGGGGCTATCATGAATAAGGCTGCTGTTAACGTTCTTGGGTCAATATTTGTGTGGAATCCATGCATTTTAATTCTTCTTGGGTTCATACCTAGAAGGATAATTGATGGGTCAGGTGGTGTGTGCTCTGCTTCAGAAGTAACTGCTAAATTATGTTTCAAAGTACCTAGAACATTCTGAATTTTCTGTAATTGTGTTTTCAGATTTTAAATTTAGCCATTGTAGTTGATGTATCATGGCATCTCATAAGGATTTATTTCTCTATGTTGAAGATTTTGTTTGTATGCTAGCATGATACTTAATTTCTTTGTTGACAAAGCATGTTGAAATCTAGCCCCTTTTGCTTCTCCCTTAGTATGGTTGTTTGTGTCTGGGTTTTTATAACATGTTTCTATGGTTTTATATGAGTTTATATGAAGAAATAAGGAGACTGCAGTTGTACCTTGGTCTCTTCAGGGACCTGATTCCAGGACTCCCTTTATATACAAAATTCTATAGATGTACAAATCCCTTGTATAAGATAGCATTGTTTTCATAGACCCTACAGATCCTCCATATACTTTAAATCATCTCTAAGAACCTATAATACTACTACAGTGCACATGCTGTATAAGTACTTGTTATACTTTCTTGTTAGGAAATGATAACAAAAAAGGCTATATTCATTTGGTGAAGCTGAAATTTTTTCACAAATATTTTTTATCAACTGTTGGCTAAATCTACAGATACAGAATTCAAGAATACAGAGGGCTGATTGTACTTAATTGCTTCTAAGTTTTAAGAAATAAATCTCTCTAAATGGAGGCTTTGTTTCCTAGACTGCTTCTTCTTGGAGCATGTGTAGAGGGATCTGTCCTCTGCTGCCCTATTTAGTTGCTCTTTGCTTTCATCCTTCCTGGCACATTCACGTAGCTTTTGCTTATTTGAATGTCACAGTTCACACACTCTCTGGAAATCACCTGTGTATTTACAAAGCACTGTTTCACTGTCAACACACACTCATCTATGCATCTATCCTGAGTGAAGCTCACCTCTGGACTACTGTAAAGGCAGTGTTCCTCCGTCTGAAGTAAGCAGATTACTGTCTCAGACTTTTTGAATTACATGCATCTACAATAAGCAATGTAAAGTGGGAGTGAACAGGTAACTAGTGATCATAACTTGCTGATCTGAATAAACTTAGTGCCCTCGAGTGATTCTGGAATTTTAGAGAATGCAAATTCTGATTTGGTGGATCTGATAATAAATCATCCTGAAGTCTTACTTTGAAAATTGCTTATGTAGGGGCTGGAGAGATGGCTCAGCAGTTAAGAACACTGGTTGTTCTTGCAGGAGACCCAGGTTCAAATCCCAGCACCCACATGGCAGCTAACAACTGTCCTAACTCCAGTTCCAGGGAATCCAACAGCCTCTTCTGTCCTCCACAGACATTGCATGACACGGGTGCACTTACCTACATGCAGGCAATACACGCATACACATAAAATAAAAATAGTAAATAAAAAATTTAAAAATTGCTTATGTAAGCTTTCACTGTGGATTACTTCATCTTGCTTGGTAGATATCTATAAAATCTACTTGAAAATGTGTTGTATCATTATGATCTGATTATGAACAAGAGAGGGAAATTGTATTATTAGAGTACCTGCATATAGGTTACACAGCTAAGAGTATTCTGCATTTTAGTTCAGTTTCCTATGGGCCTTAGTCCCATCATCTGGCATTACCAGTGGAACAAAAATCAATTACACACAAGATAACTGATCAAGTGCTTATTGACTTACCAAGTGGTGTTTAGCCTTGTAGAATATTTTTATTTTACACTAAAGATAAAATTATAAACAATTAAGAGGTTATTTATGAAAATTAAAGATCGATTTTGACATAATAGAGCACTAGATTGGCATCTAGGAAATCTGCACTTTAACGTGTGCTGTGTGACTTTGGAACAGGCTCGTAACCACTCTGGAGTTTCATTTCCTTATTAAAAATGGATCAGCTGGTGCACATAGTCATAAGATCTCTGTGTTAAGCATGCAGTATGAGTTATTTTTATTAGAATGGCTCTGGTTTCACATGGCAGCTTTGGTGATAGACCTGAGTCTGCATTTTGTTACTTGTGTTGTTTTCTATCACAGCCATAATTTTGTGACTTTAATATCTCTGAATCAAAAGAGAATTTAGTTCTTCATATTTTCTCTCTTTGAAAGTATGAAAAAGGTAAAAATAAATGAAAAAGATGAAAAAGAAAATTTGAGCCAAAATAAAAAACACTGGTTGCAACATAGCATAGTATAAAATAATTTGTTTTATTTTGAGTCACAGCCAATTAAATTTGGCTTAAATGCATTTTAGATTTAAATTAAAATCTTAAAAATATATGGTTTTAAGCTGGGCGTGGTGGCACACGCCTTTAGTCCCAGCACTCGGGAGGCAGAAGCAGGCAGATCTCTGTGAGTTCAAGGCCAGCTTGGTCCACATAGTGAGTTCCAGGATAGCTGGGGCTACAGGGAGACCCTGTCTCAAAAAAAGACCAAAAAAAATGGTTTTATTCATTGGACTTCGTGGAATCCCATCCACAGGTGTATAAAATAGTACCATTAAATTACATGCACTGAAGGACCCCAAAGCAACACAGAACTTGGAGTCTGTTTCTCTTTCAGTTGAGTAGGAAATTTTACTCTGCGGTCTTGAGCATTGCTGAGTGATAGAACAGAAGTTGTTTAGAAAGTTTCACTGGTGAGAGTGAGGTGCCACAGCACTCTTAGTTGTTATTGAAGTAGACATTTTCAGGCTTCCCCCTCATTTTTTTAAGCTACACAAAATCTAGGTCAAGATTTGCAGTTTTACTAATAAACTTTATGTGTTTCTTTTATTACACATTGCCCCAGAAAGGAGTGCATAATGGTTGGGAATCTGGGAGAAACTTGAGGGAGGAGGTTCTTAACCACCGTTGTTGCAGTTGCAAGCACTTTCTGAAAGTACTTTACTATCGATTATTCTGACCATGCACACACAGTAAATATCAATAAAGAAGGTATCTCTGCAACCAGAACTTTCCCTGTCTGCTGCCTCCCACTTTCAAGTAAACAAAGATGCAGTTGTTTGCTCTAGTGGCATCTGACAAAACAGATGGGAGCGTAAGGGACAGTTAAAATTTCCACCACTGAATCTTCTTATGAGTTGCTAGATGTCTGAATACCAGTCACACTCATGATTCATGTAGCTGACCCCAAATATAGTAAAAGCAATCACCCACCCAAGAGATCTAGGGAGTGGCTTTTCTCAAACCTCCATTTCTTCCACCTCTGTAAAATGCAGCACGTTGGTTAAGGCCCAGTCAATTCTGCTTTTTTCTTCCTCAAATGAAGCATGATCTACTCAATATCTGGCACAGCATAGTCTAAGGTCTGTCCTTAATCTATGACAAACAGGAACATTCTTATCTATGAGCGCAGGTCAGAGTAGCATTGGGGGACGGACAAGACACAGCATTTACTGTTTGCTTCCTTTACAACTGAGTTCCTCAAGCACAGATACCTGTTTCTTTTCCAGTTTTGCTATGGTATGTGAGCAACCCCATGAATCATATCCTACCTGATCTCATGAGCTAGGTCCCTGGTCGGTCCTGCAGGGAATGCTACATTTGGAGCAGTGCAAAACCCACAGTGGTTCTCAAGTCTCTTGTGGCTGGTTGAGTGCAAAGAGAAAACTCTCCTGTAGTTGATTTTCTTTCTTTCTCAAAGCAACTTAAAGTCTGCTAGAGTAGCTTTGTTAGAGCAGGACTTCTAGGTAGATTGGGAATGATAGTATCTTATATTATTCAATGAAAGTAGTTTCTTTTTACTACTGCTTTTAAATCACTTTTTCTTGTCCAGCAAAAGGGTGAGTCTTTGTCCATTTCCTTTTAGAAATCCCCAAGTTGGACACCGAGAAGACCCTTCCTGCCTATTCTAAGTCATGACTTGAAAGCTGTCAGGACTCTCCATGGCCTAGAAGGTAATCATAACTTAAATGATCAAATTCACTTATAAATCCAATTGTAAATAAATATAATCCTTTGTCTGTTGAACAGAAGACTTCCTGCCTCCTGTTTTTCAGCTTCTCCATCTCTTTTCCTTCCTCCCTCCTTCCTTCCTTTCCATTTGCTTCCTTATTTCTGTATAATCACTTAGCACCTATTTGTGGAGTCCCTTCTGGGTCAGCCACTAATTGGGGCACATGCACTCTAACCCTTTCTTAAGCAGCTGGGGCAGCATGAGAGGAGCTGGTGGGAACTACCTCTGAGAACAGTGCCCCATCCCTGGCCATGTGCTTCTGTCATGGCTGGTTTAGCACCTGCTCCCCTTCTCACCATCTCTGTTGGCCCTGAAATGAATGCTCTTCTCCCAGCTCTGTGCACCTTCCTGGCTGTTTGGTGTGTCTAAACCCTCTTTCTGTTTATATTTAATGTCCTTAATTTGGACTGTTAGAATTACTAATGAGTTAAGTAAAGTGGCAACTTTGCTGCTTCCCAGCCCATGAATATGTGAATATTTCCACTGGACTTGAGACCTGACAGGATTCTTTCCCAAGAGGGAAAAACTCACTTATGCCCTTATGTCACAGTAAAAACATAGATCCACTAAAATCCTCCATAAAATTACCTTCTGTCTATATGTGTAAGGTATTCATGAAACATAAGTGAGTTACATTTAGACTTGAGATATCTCAGTGTACCATGCAGATATTCTAGAATCCCCAAATATGCCCAAATCTGTAATACTCTGGTCCCAAGCATTTTGGGTAAGGGACACTCAACCTGGAAGTATTGATAGTGTTACTTTTCTGCAAAATGTAGACAACAGCGCTGCTTTTCAGGGTGCTGAAAGCATTGAATGTGTTGGTGTGTAAGAAATACACTATGCCAGGCACACAGTGCATACCCTGCAGAGGGAGCCCTTGGTGGTAATGTTAAAATAATAGTGTTGCCAGCAGCATGCCTATAATAGGACAGTTATTATGACCCTGAACACTAGTGAAAACTTAGCAGTGTAGGGAAGAATGCTCAAGTTCAGTAATCTCAATTGTCAGCTTATTTAATAATTGCTGCCATTTGGATCACAAAGGTTCATTCATAAAAGCTTTGGCTCTAATAGGTAGTTGGTGTGAATAGTTACATATTCCTAAACTCCTCTTATTTTCATTAGTGCTCTCTTTTTAAAATATAAGAGGCAGTATATTCTTGTACATTTTATGCAGTTTTAAAAGCAACTAAAGAACAAGCACGGTAGGCTTTTTAAGAGTATTGGGTTTCACTAGCTTGCATTTGTCTTTGGTCACAATGTATATGTATGATTATTTTGTTCTCTCTTTAGATCATTTCTTTCTGATTTTGAAATATTATATATACTGAAATATTTTCACTTTGTTAGATGCTTTTTGCCAAACTTAAGAGTAGAAGCATACTGAAATCCAATAACATGTAAATGTGCTGTTTCTAAATTACACAAAGCTTATTTAAACCTTCGGCACTCCTTTCCCTATCCTTTGAACAGAAAACAGTTACATCCTTCCCATAGTGGAGTTTTCTAATCACTTCTTTCACAGCATTTGTTTTGTTGTATTTGAAACAAATAATGTTTGGTGTACAGATGTGGAGAGCTAGGGTATAGCTCAGTGACAGAGTTTGTGCTCAGTATGCCCGAGGTCCTGGGTTCCATCCCTAACAACACCACACTCACACACACACACACACACACACACACACACGCACACACACAGTGTTTTAAAGACAAGATTATATAATTATGTAATTCACTGAGTCACATTAGCAAGTAACTATATCTGAACGTTTGTGGCAGTGGAGACCTCCCTTGTTATCTTTGACTCCATGCCTGGAACTGGACATGCTCAGTGCAGGGTGGAAGTGATCTGCAAGTGCTACAAGGGAGCTGGGTAAGTGAAAACCCATTTGCTAGTGCATTAGTCAGGGTTCTCCAAAGAAACAGAACCAGTAGAATGAATATATATAGAGAGATTTATCAGCTTAGCTCACAGGATAGAGTCCAAGTAGTCCAACAATGGCTGCACCACACTGGAGAGGCTGAGAATCCATAGTCGCTCAGTCCACGAGGCTGGATGTCTCAGTAGTCCCAATGTGGCGCTGAAGGTCTGACAAATTCCAAGAGATCAGCTAGTCTTCAGTCTACAGCAGCAAGATGAACTCACCAGCGACAGAGAAGGCAAGCAGCAAGAAGCCTGGCGTTCTCCTCTGCCTTGGTCTTTTATATGGCTGCCATCAGAAGGTAACACTCACATTTAGGGTGTGTCTTCCAGCTTCAGAGGATCCAATCAAGATCTCCCTTATAAAAAAAAAAAAAACAAAAAAAACATGACTTATTGAAAAAAAATCTCATTTCAGTTAATCTGTGGTCCAGTTGACACCCAGGATTAGCCATCACAAGTCCACCCCTTGTCAACTTGACATCCAATAGCATCTCTCTATGTCATGCTTAATTTTCAAATGAAAACAATGGTGAGGTCATAATTTCACCTAACATGATATGACTATCCCATCATACAATGACCAATGCATTATATACCTTAGAGTAGGCGATAAGGTCTTCGAGGATTGCTTAGTCCTTTAGTGTCTCATAACCCAATGTAATCATATAGGTTCACAACACTTAGCCACTTAACACATCTCAATTACACATTCAAAAAAGAATAACTCAAGTATCTGCTTAACCTATATGTATACGTGCACAAGCCTATTCTTAACCAAATAGGACAAAAATACTCATGTCAATTACAATC